AAGGATTCTATTATAAATAGTTTTTGGTATTTTGATATTTAAGGGCTTCTGTTACGTGCACAAACTCAAACACATTTCTCTCTGCTTCTTCACTCCTATTAGTCACAGTCGTGTTTTATAGCTAAAGCCTTCCTCAAAGTGGTCTAAGTTAATCTGAATGGGTAGTTACCGCGATAAAAGCGTTCTAACAAGCAAACTTTTTAGCGTTATAATAAATTGTAAATTATTTCTAAAACATATTAGGAGAATTCAAATAACGTAAAGCATAAAATTAGTTAACCGCACTAGTTCTAACTAAGCTTAAAAATCTATCAACATAATAGTTCACCACCGAAGTTCGTAATCTGTTCAAATCCAATTCAGTAGTCGTCTTACTTGATAGCTCTCCAAAAGTTTTGACTTCATTTGATAATGGACCATTCAAACTACTAGATTCCTTTGCCAAGCTCCGAAATATATTTTTATGGTGTCGCGACCGCCTTACGATCGGATTTTCGTAGTGGAGGGCCATCAGCGACTTTCAAAATGTCTTTAAAATAAATAGCTCCCACAATGGCTATCTGCTTTGGAGAGCACTTTAAAAGTTTCCGAGGCGAATAATTTAAAAATGCTTTTGTTTTTTAGCAGTCAAAGCCTATTGGCTATACATATAGACATTTGAATAATTGTCGACTATCATATAAACTTACCAGCATTGTGATGTTAGAACTGATAATATTATATATGCTCCAATTGGCTCATTAGAATATTAACATTAGTTAGTATAATTCTTACTCCACAGAATCGGTTAACTGTTAAAGCTTTATACATTTTTCTTAAAAAAACACTGATTTTCAAAGATTGTCAAGCAAGAAGCAAATTGATGAAAACATTATTATTATAACTATTCGATTAATTGTACCATTTAGTATTTACTAATTTGTTTATATTCTCCATTTTAACTTCACTTTAACTATTATAACATTGAATAGAATAACTCTTCAACGATTCTAACAGCTTATTAAAATCAAACCCACAGTTGGTTAGTGATTGATGGATTAGCGTCAATAACAATTTATCGTTTTGAAACATCTCTTTGCAGATTTTAATCACATGTAGTGCATCTGCAGATAAACACAGGCTTATGTGTAGTTGAAATTATTATTTTAATTACTAAATGACTAATTCAAATACTGGCTCAAATACGCTATACATCAATCATTTATATTTAAAAAAATATTTGTATAACATGGCTGTTGTTGGAGGTTGTAATATTTTGCCCAAAATGTTATTTAGTTATAAATTTTGACCAAAGAAAATACTTTCTCTGCGGGCTTTTTAATGAGGATAAAAACAAAGTGAAGATCAATTTCACAAGAGTATAACTTGTTATTATTTTGTATTTAAAACCTGCGTTTAAAAGTTGGTAAGAATTTTTAATTTAACTAATTTTTAAATTACGTTTGCGTGTACACGAAAATTTTGATAAATATATAATTTATTTGCTTCTAATAATATATTTTACCAAAAGTAGTTGTGCAATTTCTTAAAGTCATTCCATATTTTACTTTTATAAGGGATTATTTCAATACTCGGCGATCATTTGTCTAGTCGGGCGAAACCTGTAAAATACGCCGAAGAAACGCCCGATAAAAATACAAAGAGATTTCCTTCAAAAAACTTGCGAAGGCCGGATGAATAATGAGAATCACTTCCACAATACATATGACAATGAGTAAGGATTATCTCAGAATTTTAAGAAAAAAATAATGAAGTAGATGAGTCATTTTACATTGCGTTTTACGTTAATGACTGAACACTTTTGCACCCAATCTACTCCCAATTGTTTACGTCTGTGATTTACTTAATCTATACTTACATATAAAGCTGAAGAATTTGTTTGTTTGAACGCGCTAATCGCAGGAACTACTGGTACGAATTAAAAAATATATTTTTGTGTTAGTTATATAATGTATTGTGGAAGGTTATAGGCTGTAAAACATTGCGCTGCGACTAATAAGGTCGAAGAATAGTGGGCGGGACGTGTGGAAAAAATTGGGAAAAATTATCATCTTCATGGGTTTCCGATGTGTACGCTGTGATCTGCCCGAAACAATTTACTGTTTCCCCCGAATTTGAACCCAGGACTTTAGATCTTAATGCAATGCTAGACAAATCCTTAAACCATTAGGTTACAACTGCGGACGCATTGTAAAAGTACGAAAGTAAAATTGACTACATAAAAAAAAAGTCAAGATTTTTACTTATTTGGTTTCATTATAAACTTAAAGTAGACAAATACTGTCTATAGTTTACGCGAGTAGTACACATTAAAATAAAACACTTTAACGGTTTAAAACGCAATACATATTACTTAAACTTATTTTAAAATTTTATTTTATTTCATTTAAACACTATTACATCCTGAATTCTAACACTATATAGTCAAATCACGAATTCTTGGTTTACGTTAGTATGTACCTTATGTTAGTGTGTATTTAACCGAAACAGACCACAGAGCCATCATCAAAGTTGCAATTTAACTGGCAAAGTGACATTTCGTCACGCTCTCCCACACCTCAGCGGCTCATAATAATTCATAAGATAGTTATTAGACTCTAAAAGCACTTGAGCCGGATTGCCAATCTCCCAGCCGTGATATAGGTATTTGCTGGCTACGCTATAACTGCGCCATAACTACGCCACTGTAATTGCTTTGGGAAATTTCAAATTACTTTTAACCGTCATGCGAACTCTTATTCGCAGTGATCTATCATACGTTTTTAATAAAGCTATTCAGATAAATAAAACAATTCCAACGGTTTAAAACGCGAAACAATTTGTTTTTACTACGGTCATATGTTTCATCGTTCGTGTTTACGGGAGGACAGAAAATAATGTAAAAAGTGTATTGATTAAATTTAAATAAATAAGTGAAACAAATTTAGAAAATTGTCTGCGCATTACAAGGGGAAATGGGAATTGGATTTTAGATACAGAAGAACAAAAAAAGGCAACAGTTATAAAATACATATTGAGATATAATTCTTTACGCTAGGTAAAGTTTTTTTTACCTGAAAATCCTTAAAACACAGCCACTCATTAGAGCTACCGTGGTGAATCCCAAAGCTTTAAGTTCCAAACATATTTCAGTTTCGTGGAAATTAGAGCTTATAAGCTTTAGCGGTGAACTGTTACGAATTACAAACAAAACCGAGTTTGTTTTTCTCGTACGATTCTTAGAATTTATAGTCGAGTCCTAATAAGAAGCTTAAACATTAAGCATTAAAATATCCATTAAAAGAGAACATTTTGTATATTTATTTCTGTTTTAAGTAGTTAAAACGGTTTAATATAAACGCCGCCCGTTTTAGTAAGAAATATAATATGAAATATTTATTAATTTATTGATTGGTCCAATAAATTTTTCAATAATATTATAATTTCGCCTTGAGATATGTAAAAAACATATCTTAGATTGCTATAGGTCATATGCAAATTTTAGTTTCATGACGAAGTGCATGTACATGTTGCAGTGCTGCCATCTATTAAATTCACCAAATCGACCGGATAGTTTATTTAACATCTATAAGGAACATGCAGAAACGTAAAGTAACACTTGTCACTTGAGTATGATCGATATAGTTTCATTGACGTTTGACAATGATACAATATCGATTATAGGTGAGAAACAGCTGTTGAATGTGAAAACACAGCTATTTCAGAGTCTATAGTGGTACGAAGGTCCTGTCGCATTTACAATTACTCCATGTTCGAACTTACTGCGTCCAAAAGAAACCGTCCTGTTTGAATTAATTGTTGAGTTGAGTATTTTGTGTTAATTCCTTTCGGGCTACTTAAATAGTCTTATGTACTGTACGACGATTATTTTGAGTATTTTATGCGGCCATCCGACAAAGCTTCATCATTCATATTTATAAAATTCAACATTCAAGTTGACGACAAGGATCGCAACGATAAACAAACATTCGCAAGTAGACGGACGAAATACAAGCATTTGTATTCTGAGCCCGTGCCGCTGTTACGGGTTCCAGCCATTCGGGGTCTGGGCCTAAACTTTGTCGAATAGGCCCAATTAATGCGACGATTAAACTGAATGAGGTTTGAGGCGCGAACAGCCAATTCAGATGAGATGTGATCAGAATCTAACTTCGTCTTATTGATTCCTCAATCGAATCGATGACTGTGTGGTTCGCTTATTTACCTAATTTATATGACATGACATGGACAAGACACTATAAACTGCGTTATACTGAAATATTGACGGGCTAGTGGATGTGATGCAGCAGCAAAGTATGGCTAATCACTCACCAGGTCCTACACGATTCTAATTATTTTGTATTTTTCCTGAAACATGTTTGTCTTTGTACGGAAATTTGCATATAAAATGAGTGGTATGAAAATCGAAATTCTGTACTAGTCATAAATAACCGAATAACCTAAAGCTAAAATAGGCCGACAGCGCATCTTATTGAGATATAAAGGGGCTGGGGTATTTAGAGGTCCGCCAGTATCTCCTTTTTTAAATCTTAGATACACGAGTAGTATCATTTAAATAAAACTCTTTGTATAGTTTATAACACGTTGTACATTCGTTGAATAATTTTAAAGTTATATTGGGTACCTACATCCCGATGAAAATCAAATCTGCTACCATAACGCTACCAACACAAATAATAATAATTTAAAGTCGTTTCAAACTATTCCAAGTGTTCAAATTAAATCTAAGATAAATTTTAAAACCATTGCAAGATCAAATTATCAACTTCAAAAATCATTCATGTATGCTTATGAAAGTGAAAATAATTTAAATTACACACAGGGCTCTACACTTAAAACAATATTTATTTTCCTCTTATTTTGCCGACAGTACCGCTCAACGATATTTTTTTCGGCAATGGAAACTTTGCGATTATATTATAGTTATAAATATGAATAACATGCGTAATTCTATCTAGGCATTGTTCTTTAAGAAAAGTAGGATTCAATTGCCATCTTACCTGCAAATTGACATAGGGAGCATCTGCCATGACAGTGGGAACAATGAAGCCCCCCTCCCCGGTCGACATATCGATGTCCTGGCTATAGATATCCGTCTTGTCATCATAAAGCTTCACACGGACTCTTACACGCTTCTCTGTGCTCACTGCTTCGACCTGTTAACAAAACCTATATTGGAAACTGCAATCTTGCACTTTACAATAATAAAATTTTGCTTGTATTGCAGTCTCCTCGCGTCATTATATTAAAAAAAAATCTATGTAGTTAGTGTTATTATGCAGTATGTTAGGTAGTAAACCTTTTTTAACTAAAACCCCCCGTGACTTTCAGCAAAGCATTGGAAATTGCCGATCAAAAATCTAAATTCTTTGTTCATGTAGGTAGCTTAATATACGTAAAACGTAAAAACAGTAAAAATTTAAAACTCTAAATTTCTAGTTATGTACTACCATTTCCCAAGTTAAGGAATCGTAGAACGAACGAGAAGTTCGTTTGACTGACAAAAAAACTGTAGTGTAGTTCAAATGAAAGAAAAAATTGTATTCTTATATATTTTAAACGTTTAAAAGTGTTTTATATAAACAGAACACATAAAGACATTTATTGTATGTGTGAAAAACACCTACAATAAATGTCTATCGCATACTCAAAAAATTAAACTGAGTTCGACAATTTATGGGGTTTGGTTCATTTGTCATTAAAAATAATATCTAACTATTATATTAATAAAAGAAAAAATCACTATAACGAGAACAATACGTAAGAGTAAGGAGTAAAGAGTTCATTAGCTCTTTAAGCTGCCACCTTCATTGCGATGTCTGATTGCAAGCTGAGGAGTACCTTGGTCTAGCTGCAAATATGATAATAACTCGCCCAAAAATCCGTTTAATTTTAGATTGATTTATTAAACTGTGAGATTCTTCTTGATTGAGCATTCAGCTGAGGCTGAATCATGACGTACCAAAACATTTTAGTTCACTAATTTAGCTTTAAGTATTGTTAAGTTTTGTAGCAATAAGCCAATGTTTTTTTCTTTCTTTAATTCTTTATAAAAAATAAGAATAATATAATTTTTTTACTCCTTCAAAATGTGTAGATACCACTACTAATTTACAATCTACACCGGCACAATCCAAATGTAAGGAAACACGGCGATTTCCAGTCTACTAAGCAAAGACCAATCTCTCGCTTGACGGATCCACCTCGATACAACGCTTACAATATTAGCGGAAGGATTAATGCCGTAATGGCGTGACTCGTACACTGTACGTTAAGATAAGCGCTGAGCTCCATCCCTTTAAAGCCAGTCTAAAATGAAAACGATATTGCGGGTTCCTCTTTAATTAACCCATTAAGTGTGGCCCGACCTGGCTTAGCTCCAAAACCTCTGGCGACAGAAGTCTTTCCATGAGCGGTAATTAAACACCTTCCTTGATTATTCGCTTGTTTCAAGATCTAAACGTGATTGTAGGTAATCCTAAGGTGGCTATTCGATTTGATATTAACTTGATGGTGGTATGAATGCAATAAAATGAACCGGATGAAATGTTTCTAATGTATAAAGGTAGGGTTGTCTGTATATCTAAATCGAAGTGTAATCCATAGGGCATGAGGCAAACACATTTTTGTATCCGTTCCAGTGATCGGTGTTATTCACAGGCAGGTAGTTCATCAGAATCTATAACCTGGCCGACTGAAACAGTCTATTGTTTTCCCGGAATTCGAATCCAGGACATCTCGCGGTTATTGCAGAGGTAGACAAACCGTTTTACTATTTAGCTACAAAGGCAGTCAAAAATATATGAAACATACAAGATTTTGGACGTGCCGTCGTTAATGGTAGCAATGGATGGGTAATAATTATCGGGTACTGTGTTCGATTTAGACCGGGTCGAACAGGTTTTTAATTTTAAAATTTATAATTTTTCCGAAACATATTGTCCTTCGTCTGGAAATCTGGATATTAAATGGTTGGTAGGAATATCGAATACTGTCTATAGTTTACGCGAGTAGTACACATTTAAATAAAACACTTTAACGGTTTAAAACGCGATATATTAGTTAAACATTTTTAACTAATATATCGCGTTTTACCGTTAAACCGTTAAAGTGTTTTATTTAAGGAATATCGAAATTCCGTCGCCTGGGTCACCACCGTCCATAGATGAAAAAGCCGTGTAGTTTACGTTTCGATTTCAGTCTATTGATTTCCTAATATCGAAAGCCAAAATAGGTCGACATTGGTATTTGATTAGGTGATATAAGTATAGGACTCCTACATCAAGTGAACGTCATCTAACCTCAGCTTGTCTGTTCTCCTATATCATTTAAAAAAATACGAACATTTTAAGATACACCAAATCTTATTTTGTATGTATTTATCAAAAATATTTATTCAATCTCCGGTGATACATCAATATCGCAATCCCAATTCCAATATAAACTTTTAAGCTAAGCAATATTAATGTTCGACGTGCCAAAAATACGTAACATTTACATCGGAATCAGCTCTATTACAGCGAGCTAAGAGCAATCAATCATTTCCGAATACATTTGGCTATAACTCAAAGCGGTGTGACGTAAAGAATCACATTGATACAAAACCTCTTCGTTACAGCCTTGTAATTTATTATTCGCAAGACCCGGAGAATGGGGGTAAACACCAACTGAATACAAATCGCCGGGATGGTTTTATCTCGAGATGAAATGTATCGTTCATAATCTAGGTGTGTTAACATTGTATTTCACTTCTTGTCAACGTTGCTAGTAGAACACTTTTTGTTAGATAGACTTTAAACGGTTTTATACGCAAAATATTAGTTCAAAGTAGAGGTAAAATTAGGCGTATAAAACTGTTAAAGTTATTCTGTAAAGTATAGTGCTCCCGTGAATTACAGACAGGATTATCTAAAAATTTATTTATTTATGACTTTTTATATTCAAACATACGATAAAATCTGTTAAAAATGTTTTAATTAAAATGTACTCGCGTAAGCTACAAACAAGATTTTCTTGCCCATTTATTAATTTTTTGTACGAATAGTACTGTTGTACGTTGTATATTGACTATACTAAGCACGCCATATACGTACAAACTATGACTAAAACGGTATGCTTGTTATAAGCCGGTCTTAAAGTATTATTTATAAATATTAAATTGCATGTACTCATAAATCAGCAACGAAATATTTAACAAGGTCTTTTTTGTACCTCGTACCAATAATAAAGAAAAAAACTTTAAAACTTTCATTGGATCGAGAAACGATTTTCTGGAACGAAATTAAGGTGCGAAGGTAACCTCCACTTTTATTTTTCTTTCTGCAAGAGTATCTAGGCGAGAATACTTTGCTTGAAATACTTGGCAAAACTTCTGAACGGCCGGTAGCACATTGCAATGGTTCTTCCAATGAAACTTTAAATATTTAAGTGTATTCAAGTCGTTTTCAAAACTTCGGTCTTTATGTACACAGTGCTTAATCTTTAGAAGTTGCTTTTTGTAAGACTGGCTTTTTGCTTTGAAATCTATAATGATGACCGGCTCGTTGGTGTAATGGTAGAGAATATCGAAATACCGTCTGGGTTCACAGATGAAAAAACTGTAAAGTGTAATCGCGGTTTCAGTCCGATTTCCGAATATCCAAAGTGAAAACAAAATAAAGTTATTTACCCGGCCGACGAAGGGCAATCCCGGTTTATATCTTCTACGCATGCTGTCCGCAAACTTGAGCTCCACGTAGTGCTGTTCAGCAGCTGGTGTTGCAGGGGTGGTGACCCCCGTGCCGGACCCCACAGATATCTCCACTCGCGCCGTACCCCCTCCGCACGTAGCTTCAATTGTCCAAGCCCCAGACTTCGCTCCAGCAGCCAATATTGCTGTCAGCTTTCGAACGCCTGTTAAAAAATAAAAAAATATATATTTTGCAATTCTAAAGGCATCTTTGCTGTTGGTTCCAGAAATAGTTGAAGAAATCCCATTCATTCGAGAGAGCCTTTGACATCAAATTAGCTATTGAAAAATTCACATTTACCAATGTAAAAAGCGGCGTTAAATTTTGCTTTAAAAGGAAATACCTAAACTTCTGAAGAGGGAAATATTTGAAAAAGAACAAGCGTTGGGGAAAGAAAAGAGTTAATGTCAAGCGAAGTCTCAACGCCATATTGAAGCTTAACAAAAGCGAGACATTTTTGTAAGAAGCCGACTTTCGTGCGATCGAAGATTGCAGTACAATAGCTTTGACGCAACTTTGCCTTTAAAAGTCTTTTTTAAGGAGCTGGAACAGTTTGTGTGTACACATCGGTATAGGAGAAACGATATTATAGTTAAAGCCATAAAGATATTTGATCTAAATGCAACGGCGTATTCTTGTAAAGGAGAGAGATTATTATAGTTTTAAAATAAAGTACTTAAATAAAATAGTTTTAACAGTTTCAAAGTCGAAATTACAATACAATACATTTTGCGTTTCAAACCTTTTAGGCCTTTTAAATCGAGTTACCTTATTAGCAATTTTATTTAATTAACGCTCTTTTAAACGGTTAAATAAAACACTTTAACGGTTTAACACGCGATATATGTATATTAGTAATGTTTTTTTAGAAATTATTTGTAAATTATTTTAACCACGGTCCCTACGTTTTGCCGTAGTTAAAATAAATTTAAGTATTTCATTTAAATTCTAAATTTTACTACTCGCGTACACTACAGACATTTTATTTTTACCATTAACTTCGACCCCACTATAAACCAAATTTAAAATATGACCTATTTAAGACACTTGCTAAGGAGCTAATACCATATTTGCTTTATTAAATTGGCCATAGGGTAATGTACTAAAAAGCCTAAAATTTCCTTAAGTCAAGAGCAGCTGGCATAACGCCCCGTAGTCAAAGTTTTTGCCCGTTATGACATGTGACTTTAAGAGGGTCGGCAAATGTGATTTATCAAAGGCCTCGGTGACAGCAGTGACGTCACGCTGCGTCTCTCATTAATTTGTTACATGGTAAAGGGTGAAACACATTTTGTTGGTGTTTTTGGAACATTATTTTTAAAGCTTAATGTTATGAAAACTTTTGGATTAGGAGTAATGGAAGTACTTAAAATGTTAATTTTTATTTTTCACGTTACTTCGATCTCATTATTTAACCCCCCTCTTCCATCACGCAACGCCTAAAGTGTTTTATTATTATTACTAATAGTTAGGAACTACAACTACTATTGTATACGTCTTTAGTGAGATCTAACTTAAGAACATTTGTAAAAAGTAATATGAGAATATCACTAGTGATTTAAAATCTTGCCAATGATGATCCGTGGATGTATCGTATCATAAATAAATAAATATCTAAACAATCGATTTCTTAGCAATAAACAATATAATTTATTAATGATGTGAATTTAATAAACAGTCTTACTTATACTTTCTTCTTATTATATTATCAGTAATAAAACTGTATCATTTTAATTACTGAAAATATAATATAATCTTTTCGCGAAGCCAGGCGCATTTTACTCAAATGCATAACCATTAAACTATGGCAGCAAATCTTGATTCATCCAATACACTCAACAGTTACAAGAATCAAGTATTAATTTTGTTTTCTTAGTTATTGATAATAATACCAGTTAAAAAGAACAATAATATAAAATTATTCACAACCCGCCTTTCTCTTTGACGAACGAATTTTCGCCATTGTCCCAAGGATATCGGGTTGTTCCAAACATGCATATTTTATAGCTTTATAGAATATCAGAACTAGTATGAGAAGGGTCTCGTAAACACGGGAGCGAAACCCGAACGCATGTCAGGTAAGCTACATGATCCCTTTTAGGGAATTCCCCGGCCCGCCACTATGACGCCTTTTGATAAATCTATGCCGACGTATCAGAGATCTTGAATGGCAAACCCTTTTTGCTCAGTCAATTTAGTTTCTGATTTATATAAATAACTTTCCATCAAGACTAGAAAATTCTATGGCGGCCGGACTAAAGGAGATTAATGCGTTTCGGCGGTGGGTCTTTGTTACCTCGCATATTAAAATACAAATAAAAAGTAAGTTACATAGAATTATTGTTATCATCAAGAAACATTGACAATTTGATCTTATTATACCATCAAAGAAAATCAATTATTCCGCTTACAATTAAACAAAAAATATACATACTTATAAATTAGATATATTATTTAGATGGATAGCGCTCAGCTTTTGTTTTACCTAGAAGGCATAATGCTGATTTTCAATGATGCCAGACGCAACCCAAATACATATAAACAGGTTATTTTAAAATAGTGATATTCTTATTATTACTAAAATTGTTAAGTACCATATTGTATTGTTGTCTTATCGTTCAGAGCATTTTAAAGGAAGGTAAACGTCTAACGTTATTATTATGCGTTATTATTCTTCTTGGTAAAGACATTTTGTCATGTTTATTTTTTTATAAAACCAAATATAAATAAAAACATGACATATCTTAATTGTAATTTTTTCTGATCAATGTTAGTTAACAAACAGGTAATTACACTTATATGTAAATGAAACTATTGTTTCTCTCTCTTGTGAGTTTACTTAGCAATGCGATCAATATAGCAAAAACATTGATATCGACTATCATATAAAGTGAATTTAATATAGTATATTGAATTATTTAATGAAACAAAATACAGGTATAATAATTAATTTTCCCTCCAAATTATAAAAATCAACACACTTTGTTCTGTTTTTTAAATAAATAACTTCAACCTTCTGAATTAGCTTCATTTTTTTGACATAAAAACAATCTTAGAAATATAACCCGACAATTCAAGGAGGAACAATCTCATTTTAAAAACTCACAAGAAGGAGTCTTATGAAAATCGAGTCCTTTGTTAATCCGTGTTTATACAAGCGGAGGGATCACAGTCCTGGCAAATTGTTACTTTTGGCCTTCCGTCGTCGGAAACAGCGAATATAAAATAAACTTTGCGACGCGGCTTTCTTTGCGCGAGATTTACTCTGAAATAATGAACTACTGTTGAATTAATTTGTCGGTGTTGTTTTTTGGTAGCTTAACGGGGTCACGTGCTTTTGGTAAAATGGGATAAATTGCACGATTTTCGGAAAATTAATTAAATGCAATAAGAAATTTGATGGGCTCGTTGGTGTAATAGAAACAATGTAGGCTATTAATCACCTGGTCGTGGGTTGGATTTAAACCGGGTTCAACTTTTTTAAATTATCATAATGATTTAAATAGTTATCTGGAAATCTGAATATTAAATAGGTGGTAGGAATATCGAATATTCACGTCCGGTTTACGCACCACTGTCCACAGATAAAAAAGCTGTCAAATTGAATTGCGTTTAGGTTGCAGTCTGTGGAATTTTCGAATAACCAGAGCCAACATAGATCTAAATACCTATTTATGGGGTAATTCACATATTATAAAACTAAAGACAATTAATTTGTAAGCACTAGTCATAGTGAAAATCGTCAAGTGACATTATTGGCGTTTTAAACTATTAAAAAAAAATATATTTGATTTACATCACGGTAGCTTAACTTTTAAATAGCTAGTACTTCCTTTTCTCAAACATAGTATTTGACTGCGCGAATATTTAACTGCCATTCAATACAAATTCAATGTTGTTTACCGTTGTGTAAGACTGCACCCTGGTTAAATTTAATTCAAAACGGATGCACAAAGAGCCATTCAGAGATACATAAATCATCTAGTCTAATTAGTACCACGAGCTTTGTCTAACTTAAACAAGCCAACAAAACATACTAACATACAGAATATATAGCATTAGAATTCATACTAATATTGAAAAGCTGAATAGTTTGTTTGTGTGAGTTCTTGTTGGTCAGACTATTTATCGAGGAAGGCTGTAAAACATCAGACTGCAAAGAAACAGAGGGCAATGTGGACAGATGGGAAATATTAATTATTCATCTTAGAGTAACGGTTCAAGATGCCCCAATATGCAGGAAAAAAAAATATTTTTTTTATATGATCTAAAAAATGTCTGCGACAATATATTTTAAATATATCTTTTATTGTTACGTTCAAGAACGGTCGAAATACTTAATATTATAAAAGAATCAAGAAAAGGTCAGGTAAAACTAGATCTGGAAAGCCAGGTCGGATAGTACACAATAATTTATGCACATTAACAGTTCAATCAACATATAACGTCGTTACGTACGTTAAACTTTAACAAACGTCAGTGAAATGTTTTTTGCATTGTGTGTGTGGAGAGTGCGTTTTAAACCGTTAAAGTGTTTTATTTAAATGTGTGGAGATATTTGTGTCTAGTTTACTACTATTCTAACCAAGCGAAAGTTGTATTTTTAAGTGTAGATGTAACGTGTACGTGTCACGTAAAACAAATATTAACCAGTACGCCACAGAAGCGATCCGAACAATGTGACACATGTACAACAAGAAGTTAGCAAGGCAAAACATAATTGAACACAATAAATACCATTTCTATTGATTTCTTTAATATAAAGTCTTGTTAGGAGTATACGTGAGCACATAATTAAAATAAAACACATTTGACGGTTTAAAACGTGAAATATATTTGTTAACTTATTTTTAGTTTACGTGAACTACAGCCCGAAAACAGCTGACAAGCATCCGAAAGATGCTTCACAGCAAAAAGAGTTGACTAATAATAGTTCGCGTTTTAACCCGTTAAATGTGGTTTATTTAAGTTCTTTAATATAGATGGAAAATCGAGTTTCTTCCTCTTAAGCGTGTCAGGTGCTAACTACAACCAATTAATCCATCAGTTTAGAACTACCATAAGTGTTCTTTCGTAGAAGTCTACGGAAAACTATTTGTAGCGCTTTTCGTAGAGTTGGAAATGAGGTAATCCTGTTTATTGGAAAATAAATATCTGTATTGTATATCTTGCACTTCTATATATATGTTTAACACGTTGCCTAGCATTGCCCCAGAGGTTCGAGTCCTAGGAAACAAAAGCCGATCTTTATTAAAAAACCGATTAGCAAAACGGACACAGAAATGTGTTCGCGTTATGCTGCTCGGGGAAACGGGATTATACTTTATATTATCATCATCATCATCGAGTGCTCTAAATCTTTGTTTTATTTATAACATATATTATATCACTTTTAATACATTTATAATTTTCCTAAAGACGTTGGTCTTTTTCTGCATATGAAATTGGTGGTAGGAACGAACGAACGGATACAAACACAGAAGAATAGTAGAATTTAATTTCTTTCCGCTCTCAGTCTGTGTGTTCCGAATATCCAAAGCGACAATAGGTCGACAGCGCAACTGTTTCATAATGCAATGTGGCTGGGGCTTTTCACCTACTATCAAGTGAGATAGAGAAGGACAAGCATAGAGTGCTTGTCCTTCTCTATCATAAATAATATTATTCATTAAGAACTTATATATTAAAAAAAATACAAAACACAAGAGTAAAAGTATATTTAGATGTTCTAGAATGAGATTAATTTATGCCTAATAGAGCATAACACGTCGTTGATAAGTCAGCGGGGCGTGGAAGGCAAATCCAATCTATCAAAATTTGACACGGGTTAGCGTGGAGATGACATGGAAAGGCTTTTATAGAAGAAAACGCGCTAAGCCGAGATCTGCATTCGATTATAAGAAAACTTAAATTTGTTCTTAAACATAAATTATATTTGAAACGTAACTTAGGTAAGACAGCGATGAATCAAGAAATCTACTTAACAGAAAATTGTTTAATACGTTAATGATACCGTTTTTTTAACTTTAATTAATGTTATTAAAATTGTTTTTGCTTATGCAAAAATATATGTAATTTCTTTCATTTACTATTTCTTGAGATATTCAATTGTGATGGATCTTTTCTTACATTCTGACACAATCTACCTAAAAGGAAATTGTTTAATAAATAGTATAACGTGTGTTTAATATATGTACTAAGTAATTATCCCATAAAATATATTTACATAATAATATTTGTTCGTGTCGATGTATGCCTACCGCTTTAAACAGATTTTAATGGAGCTATTAATGTTTCTGTTACAAAATACGTACGTGCTTTCTTATGATGTAAAAATAAAATTGTCTTAAACCTATACTAGTATTATGAAGTAGTAGTAGAATTGTTTTTTCAACGCCCTAATCTCAGCAACTAGTGGTTTGAATTGAAAAAAAAAAACAGTGAAAATTACGGAAAAAATGTATTAATTAAAACGAATGTAGATACTCAAAAAATATGTATAAAACAATTATTTTTCTTTAATATTAAAAAAAATATATGTCCACCGCAGTATATCTATACTTTATGATTTTCTCACAAGAACCGTAGAATAAAATTATAAACTACATCAAAAGAGCGTTTATCGAGGTCAGCTAGTTATTAATAAAAATGTATAACTGTCGTGAAATGAACGTGTGCTAAATCGAAACTCGAGTCCATCTTCAAACGCCACCTCAATTAGTTTTCACTCAGAAAACTCATTTCTATCAACGAATACGAAATAGTCCATCGCTGGCTGTATGGCAACTCGGAGCCAGGAAGCAACAATAACAAAGTTACTTCCCAATTAGAGGGAGATTGTTCACATTATACCAATATAACTTGATCCTCGATCGACCTAAAATGCGGGTTATACTGGATATAGCGAAGGTTTTCAATTTACGAACATAACATTATTATTGGAAGCCGTGTTTGTCTTAGTGGAATGAGTGGTTAGTTCTGAAGTTCAATCCTCAGTAATGCACTAGTGTTTATCTTTGTATATGTTAAGGGCATCGTGATTAATAGGGAATTAATAATAAGGACCGGCCATTATTAACAATGCCCAAGGGAGATTGAGCAAAGTGATGATTTTAATACTTTAACGGCCATTATTAATAATGTAAATTTGGAGATTTACATTTTTAAAAAGATTTTTGATTTTTTTAATGCCCGACGGTCAGTGGTCACAGTAAGAAGCCAGTGTTGGACCGGGCAGTTATAATAGAATAAAAAAGGTACATTGTTACGTACCATTTTTTTACTACTGTACATTTGTAATACTATTTTTAAGAACCGTGTTCAGTAGTATATTTTTTGTTAACTTTTCATGATTTGTCAGTTTCATTTCATTTAATAAATAACATAACATTTTATTACTGTCTTCAATTTCCGGTTTTTGAGATGGGTATCAAAATTCTTTGTATATAAGAAAACATCGAATACGGTACGTGTCTTAAAAAATATATATGTCAATTACCACCACACTTTTTAAGGGTACACTTGTAGACATTTTAATATACAATTATTGGTGGACTTATGGATATAATTATAAAGTAAAGCCTTTTTAGATGTTTCTAGTTTCTCTATCACATAAAGTAAATGCTTTAATAGTTATTTGAGGTCAACTAAAGTATTCTATATCTCGAAATAATTGTTACCGTCTTCAAATACGCTCCACTCCTTCTGATAATGCGCGGCCCTCAGAAATAGTTTCAAGTTATCCTCAACCATGACAAGAAGCCGTTTGAAGTAAATTACTTGAGATAGTTACTCGACTCATTTGCGGTTCTGCTAATGTACCGTCCCTTATTGACTTTGACTTACTTTGTAAGAGTTTCTAGGACTTGACATTTGTGATAAAAAAACAACTTCTCGAGAAGCTCGAGCTAAAGTAACTAAATTTTTCTGTAAATTTAAATTTTATGTTCTTTACTTAGTCTAACACAAAAGTACAAAAATCTTTTGTTATAACAATGAAATTCAATATATTTATTTTTTATATACTTATTACCTACTGCTTGTGGCAGCAACTTCGTCCGCATAGAGTAGTTATTTTAGGCATCAAAACCACAACTTTTTGCAAATCACCTCCTCATCTTTATAAATGATAGCTGTTACCCATGAAGTCATCCCAACCCAACGTTCTTGCAAGTTAATCTTAAAAGATAGACAAATTGTTGCGGACATGTTTATAGATTTAAGAGTTCTTCTTAAATTGAATTCATTATCATATAAACATTTATATTTTCTAACCAACTCCATCAATTTTTCATTTAGTTCCATGATAAATTTGTAAAAAATGACAACCGTTTAGCAACTGTGCTGCGCCTGCCCCGCTCAACTGCTCTGGTGTAAACAGTCCAATGGCGGACGTAGTAATACAGTTAGGTTCAGCGGGCCCGCGTTTGTTCGGAGTGTCATCCCTCATACAACTACATTATTTATAAACGTAGACGCACTGCTACCGCATTGCAACTGCTTTGTTGTGCCCAAGCCATTATAGCCTAAAGCCTAAGCCTAAAAATTGTTTATTCGAACCAGTAATTCATGAGATAAGCGCGTTTAAACAAACATACAAAATCTTCAGCCTTATAATACTAGTACGGATTATTATAGTTATATTTTATACTTATATAAGTAGTTACCATGTATTTTAAAAAAAAACAATTGACAAAATGTAGGCAAGACAACACAATAAATATCATGTTTACTACTGTACCAACTAAATTTTAACGTCATATAGTAGAATTTCAACTTACTACTTAGAGATTTGTAATAGGAAATTGAATCTGTGAAATTGTTAGAACGGCCCCGATCTCTATTGCAGAGACACGGGAAGGCTTTTAAGCGCAAACGGAGCCTTCCGCTCGTATACCTGGCGATTGATATCGTCTTACGGTTTCCAATAGTTAGCAAGTAAAGTATAGGATACATAAGAAGACACTTGCGTTATACATTTGTTGCTAGTTTGTTTTTGTTTTGTATATCACGAGTCAACGTAGGCACTAATGATGTCGAAGCTGTAGCATAAAACGAATATCTAAAGCCAAGATAGTCCGACAACCCATCTTATTTAGATTCTTTATACTGTCTGTAGTTTACGCGAGTAGTACACATTTAAATAAAACACTAATAGTTTAAAACGCGTCAGTCTCCCCGTGACCACGGCTGCTGCAAAGCATTTGATACGTCGAGTCGTAGTTAAAAATAGTTTCAAAAGTTTAACTAATATATATCGCGTTTAAAACCGTTAAACTATTTTATTTAAAGAGATTCTATATGTTATTTTGATTTTAGTGAACCTCAAGCTGTTGTCCTCCTCTATCATTAAAGAAAAAGCAAAACAACAAACTCCAATCTTTCAAAAAGTATTAGTTTGTAGATCGACATAGTCCGCTCTAGCAATAAACTGTTTTGCGTTATTGTGTAGTTAGTAATAGTTAGAGTACTGCTTTTCCTACTTTTATAATGTTATATTCACTAGCAATATTCTATAGTAACATTAGTAGACCTAAAAACCTGGCACAGGTATTATTCACTTAAAAGGGTTTTCGGATCAAAACTAGATTGATGTAAAAAATCTGCTCCGCTGAATAAATTTAGGGGTTCGTTTGTGTGATACATGTGATTTATAATTTTTCGGAACCATTTTGGACTCCGTTTGGAAATGTAGATATTAAATGGGTGGTAGGAATATGCAAATTCCGTTCGGGTCTCGAACCATCGCCATCAGATGAAAAAGCCTTGAGGTTTAATCGCGTTTCGGTTTCAGTCTGTGGATTTCCGATTATCCAAAGCCAAAATAGGTCGATAGCACATCCTGTATAGATGATATATTGCTGGGGTATTTCACCTACCATCAAGTGCTTGGCTGTCGTTCTCTATCATAAAAGAATCCTTTTAATTTTACTATTGTATTTTAATATTATTAGTTACTGACCTTCATCTAGAGACAACTGTTCCCAAATAGCCACTTTGGTTCCTGCTGGGTTCTTCAAAGCCACGTAAGCCAGCTCATGACGCACCAAGCGGAGATCATGGTCCAATGCCAGGATCCAGAAAGTAACTGCAAATTACGGGGTTTTAAATACAACATACAGTTTTTCCCTTTAAACTAAAATTACTGGTTAAATTTATTTTAAATGTTTGTATTAATTACCTTTTGAATTATAAGATTTATTTTCAAAATACGATCTTACATTTTTTTAAATAAGATTTCAGGATCTCCCCCTTTCACTTGGTAAGGGACCTTTTATTTTACATTAAGTTGTTTTGTTTCTAATTACTGTTAAGCGAGTATTATGTTATATTTATCACTATTTATTTTGTTGGTTTGTAGTTTCGTCTTAATACTGTTTTGGCGATTTTTATACAGTAGGGCTGTTAAAAATTGAGATCTTATTTTGCAGTTACTAAATTTTCACAAATATATGTAGCATTTTAAACCTTTAAAGTGTTTTTTTTTTAATATGTACTACTCGGGTAAGCTATAGAAGGTAAGTATTCACATATCAAGCGCATTAGGAAGTCAATTTCTACGTAAATGTCCTACCAGTTAGCAGTTAACTTATGGGCCGTTGTAGTAATTAATTAGAAACACGGGCCGTTCAAACTTGAACAATAACGGGGCCACGCCCAAACAACTTTACAAGACTACGGTACTTCTGATACATTTCAACCTTTTGCTTGAGTTTTAAGTAATTTTCGCCTGTGACTTCTCTGTACAGTTAAATTGAATATGTTTATAAATTTGATATTTTTAATACAAGAGTCGCTTTAACATTTTAACAAAATGGTGCTAATAATGTAATAAAGCCAATTTTCCCTAAGAACTACCCGTGAATCCGCCATAATTTGAGTACTTTTGAATTAGGGTGTCCATACAGAACATAAAAAACTTTTTAAAACGTTCTCGCACTTCCTGAGCACACTTTTATTATGTTATATATTATATTGGTATATATATCGAGTATAGCAAACAAACTTTTTATTGCATTTAGGTCAATTTAGTATAGATATGAAAAAATATATTATTATTAATAATTATGGCCTATGATGCTTCCTTAATAAGCAAAGTGCTTGTCTAGGAAAATCGATTATTTTAATACTATTTACTGAGAATTTAAACACATTTTTTTTAACTACACACATTCACAAAGTTCAGAACGTTAATTCCTAAGATCTTATGACGTCATCCACTCGTACGAAGAACTGAATTTGTATGTACTTTACGTTTAAGAATTGTACAGATTTAAATAAAACACTATAACGGTTTAAAATGCAATATATCGGAATCTCCCCATGACCATGGCTCCTGAAAAGCATCCGAAACGTGGGACTATAGTTAAAATAATTTTCAAATAAGTTTAACTAATATATATCGCGTTTTAACCATTCTTTTCTTATAATATAAATAGATAGTAAAATGATCATTAAAGTGTAATCAAATCTTCTCTAACGACTTATTGAAGTAACATAATAGGACATAACGAAGTGAACGATCTACATCTATTAATAATGCTCACTGATGTATTGGGCGTAATTAATTAGATTTCCGATCAGCCGGATTCGAAGATTGGCAGATTTCTTTTGTGACGCCTACAAGAAGCTACTTTGAGGAATTACTGAATGCAAAAAGGAATAATAAGTTTAATGAACTTAAGATACTAAATATATCAAATAAGCCCTTGTCGCCATGATTACGATAGGTCTAAATACTTTCTGTAGTTTACGCGAGTAGTATATATTTGAATTAAACCCTGTAACGCTTTAAAACGCGATATAATATAGTTTGTGTTAAACTTGTTTGAAAATTATTTGAGCGTGACCACGGCTGCTGTAAAGCATCCGAAACGTCGGGCCGTATTAAAAAATAATTTTCAAACAAGTTTAAATATAGATATATCGCGTTTTAAACCGTTAAAATGTTTTAATTAAATTCGTTAGGCAACCTCTTTAATTAAACAATGAAGACAAGCTATGTCAGCGACTTCGTCGCATAAAATAGTTATGTTGGGCATCAAAATTTGTTTTTGCCTAACTCCTGTTCAACTCTGTAAATTTAAGCTGTTATTCACGACATTATTCGCGTCCTGACGTTCTTGCGAGTTAATTTTAAAAGATTGCGGATATTTTAAAAGAGATTGATAATATTAGTCTTCAAATAAACAAACTTTATATTATAATAAAGATTTATAATAATTTACTATATATGGTTTTAATTATAAAGTTTTAAATTTTGCCAATTAAATTTAATAATAAAGACTGCTTTTTTTAATTGTTATATCCATAAATAAATTTTATGTTTCTTCTATATTAATGTTTCTATGTACTACGCTATTGTAAAAAAATATTGTATTAACACTTACTGGTTTCTCCGGGTCTATAATGATGTCTAGCTGGTCGCACGATTACATCTCTTACAGGGCCCAAGAGTTTTATGACACTGTGGCTCTTCGCAGTACATTCTTCATTTCCCACACAGCCCACTGTTGTATGCAAGGTGCAGTGCGTTGCTGGAGACGAAGGTATCTTCAGGGGTATTATACCGTAACCTGGTGGAATTGACAAGAATATTTTTAATGTTTAAAATTTTGTTTATTACTAGAACTAACCTATATTTTTTTATTTATTAAAACAACGCATTAATAAATAAAAAATATTTAGATTTAGCAATAATTACATGAGTGAGAATTGAACCGGCAACCACAGCGTTCCGTACTGCTGCTGTTATTCTTTATATTTTTTCAATGTAAATAGATTTTTAATTTATTTAACTCTATCACGTTCAATGTGAAAAATATTAAAGTTTACTACAATTTTTACGACTAGTTAGAATTGTTTTATTTGCTGTGTACCTCTTTCGTAAACTACAGACAAAACTTAATCACTCGGATTAAAATGTTTTTTTTTTTAAGATTGTATGTATTTGTAATGCACATATTTCAAATACAAATACAAATTGTTCATTCACCAAAAATGTGTACATTTTGTTATATGGGATGTGCTAGCCCCCACACTAGGATTCCCTGTGTCGTGGGCGGCTAGTCTCTTCCGGTACATTTAGAAATACCAATTAAAATCTTAGTAACTACAAAGTTCTTACATACTAAGTTTTAAAATGCTAAGCAATACGTAAAAAGGAAAAGAGTTACAAAAATATAGTGAAGAAAAATTTTACTTACAAATAAGGAAAACATTTTTGACGTACAATTACACTAATAAGGTTTTGTGTTTGAATGTGATTTAATGTATTTTCGGTCTCATTAATTGTTGAAATATCAATTTCAGACACAACGTTGCGCTGCAAAATCGAACACCGCACAAACAAAACTATAACTCAGAACCACAATCGTGTAAGCACTAAAGCGAGCATACTCCACTATTAATATCCTCGTAAACTGTAACGCACCAGAAATGTTATTCAAACTCGAATCAGAATCCATTTAAATTTCGAATAGTTGTTCGAAACGAGAACCATCGAGAACCGTCGAACCAACAAAAGATCTTGGAGATACTCCAAATGGAAAGGATGTTGAAGAAATTGCGCCAACCTTACCGAACAAGCACTCACCAGACGTTATTAAGAGGTGGAATGATTGCGTAAATGCGAATGGCGAGGAAAATGTTCAAATTCAATTAATTTCTATCACAATTCATTCGATTGTTATTATTTTAATCTATGGCCGTGAAATGATTTCGATGAAAATATATCAACTTAAGAAGGTTTAAGTAAAATATAAGATGTAGTTCTTAGTCTATTTTTAGATAAGTAGAAATCCCTACGAATTTAAAATTGTGAATTATTCTTAACATTGTCTACCATTGTGCTACCTCACTATTATTAATTACAAAATATTGAAAGTAATTCGCATTTAATTTCAGACATAACAAAAAGTGTCAAAATCTTTTGTTATAGTGCGTATACAATTTGTACTTTTTTTTGGTAGATTCAACTTTGCGTTTTCCGTGTTGCTTGCGTTAGCAAAATTAAATGTTTTTACTATTGGAATCTTCGAATGGAATCGGAAAACTATGATTCCTGCTTTTAAAGCATTAGGACTCGTATCTTTATAATTAAATTTAGCTTATAACCTAGACAATTTCACTGTAGACTCCAGGCTTGATGGTAAGCCGAGATCACAATCACAAAGCCTGCATCGCTTGAAGGAAATCCGTAAAGGAAATAACTCGTTAAATAGAGCCACTTACAAAGGCAAAAGTATTTTTAATCAAAATAATAAATAAGCTGCGAAACGAGAAATATTTGTGAAGATTTCTTTGTATGAGTTTTGAACTTTCAAACGAGTTCACAAAGGGAGTAATTTGAATTTAGAATAGATTACGAATGTCAGACACCGTGTTTGTAAGTTCAAACCGAATGTTAAGACAAATTATTTATTGTCTTTGATTATTCTTTGAATGTTTGCGACGTACATATTAATAAGATTAACTCATTTACGGTCTTTTCAAAAACTTAATTTAATAAAGACACAATTCGCATCTGGCCAATGGTCACATCACTTATGTGTTGTGTATGTTGTGCAACATGTTAAGTAAGAGAAAAATATCTTCGATTCGAAGACCGTTAATATTTAATAGGTTAGATCGGCAATGTACCGATGTCTGATTAATTATTCTAAATGAAATAAATCACTATGCAGTACCTGGGAATGTCTTACCTCAAAGGCGAAACTTATTTTCGAAAAATTTTCTAATAGATCCGTTATACGTTTTCCTAAGTTTAGAAAACTTATTAAAACACTATTAAAATGTTACACACACTAATAATTAATTTATTTTAAACTAGCACTCACTTACGTATGGAACTCACTGTCTTAATTTTAAATGTATTTTTAAAAAGTAAGTAAGCAATACAAGGTAAGGCCCCAAATTACCAAAAACGGATATTAAAAATGCTTTTTAATACTCAATTTCAGATACCCCGTATAACGGACCTTCCTTTCAACAATTTTAATCAAGATAAATACGTATTCTATCCCGGCTTTTAAAATTTATACAGCTAATAATTCCTTCAACAGCTAATTAAGCTCCTTTGTACCCTGTGAATAGCCAGTTCAGTTTAGGCTTAATTTCGAGCTGCATACAATTCTATAAATTAGCGGTTGTAGCTGCTTCATTAAGCGACCACGAACGATGAATGGCACCGTTTAATGTTTTAGTTGCTCCGTGAAGGATTATAATGAGCTAGCTTTTTGCTCGCGACATCGTCGGCGTGGAGAAGTGACTTCGCAGTACATTAATTTAATTATAAATAAAAAGCAATTAAAGTAAATTATTTTATTAAAACCTTAATTTATCATCTATACTAAATTTTATTTTTATTACTACTACTACTATTACTAATGTTACTATTTATTATTACTTCATCTATAAAAAGATGAAGTGGAGGTTTGCAAAAACATATTTTGTAGCTGAATAACTATCCTAAGTGGACGAGGTCGCTGGCACAGCTAAACATATTGTGTCGCGGACATTTTTTTAGATAATTTAAACAGGAATTCTTTAATACATATTTTTTTGGGTATCTTGAACCGTTTTCTAAGCGTACGCAATAGAAACCCACAATGATGAATAATTTTTCCTGTTTTTTCGACATTCCCTGCTGTATCTTTGTTCCTATTAGTCACAGCGTGTTTTATAGCTTTCCTCAATAAAATTTCTAAATAACACAAAAATAATTTTTCAATTCGAACCAGTAGTTTCTAAGATTAGCGCGTTCAAACAAACAAACTCTTCAGCTTTATATATATAAAATATAGCATAGATTTGGTATAATCTACTTAGTGTATATAAGTTGTGAATGTTAATTCACATCGTTCAAATTGGAATCAATTCTATCAACCACTCAACCAACGAGGCATTCATGTATTATTAAGGACTCTCAAAGATCACAAGACAAGATAACACACTTCAGATCCACGTGTTTACATTCCCAACCTGAATTTGACTAATCCCAGGTTCCAAGTAAATAAGGAAAGTACATTTCAAACTATTCATTCCCGTGTTTATTTGTGACTGCTTTTAACTCAGTACAGTTCGCATTAAACTACTTATAATTAGAAAAGTATCTATCGACGAAAGCAGATTCAATTAAAACTTTAATACTCGCTGTTGGCGTGACTTTTAAGGATAGCGTACAACAGTAGCAGAAGCGGGAGCGGTAGCGAAAGTGAGAGAAGATTTTGAGATCGTTGGTCTAATGATAGCAACGTATGGTTAATAATCGTGGGTCAAATTTTCACTGGGTCCAACATGTTACTAATAAATTTATAATTTACTAGCTGGTGCCCGCGACTTCGTCTACGCGGGACTAGGATAAGGATTACGTAGTCTCGCGAATTTAAACTAAATGTTGTCTATCATATTATACATTACATAATTATGTATAACTAACGTTTATGGCAGCGCACGCCAGAATAGCTCGCAAAAAGGTAGGTTTTTTCCTAGTTACTTGACACTTAATGTCATATTTTGGACAGCTCACATAATATCTTTATAAATTGTAGCTTATGTGTTATTCAGATAAGCTATATTATTGGAAAGTTTAATGGAAATCCATTCAGTAGTTTTTGCGTGAAAGAGTAACAATACAAACTTTCACGTTTATAATATTAGTAAGATGTGAACCATGTTGGACTTCGTCTTCGTTGGAAATCTAGATATTAATAGGGTGTTGGGATATCCATAGTTCTGTGCGGGTCACAAACCATACCACAGACGAAAGAATCGTTACGTTTGATCGCGTTTTAGTTTAAGTCTGTCAATTTTTAATTATCAAAAGCCAAATTAGGTAAACAGCACGTCTTGTTAAGAGATTGGCGTATTTCATACTTCATCAAATCGACCCCAGTCTTATCTGCCTTTCTTTATTATTAAAAAGTCAACTCACTTTCTTAAAATTAAGTAGCAATTGAATTTTAACAGGTTGTGTTTATACTTCTATTAAAACATTGTGTTAACAGTATACTCGAACTACTAATAATATGCAAATGTTTTATATGTATATGTATTATTGTAGTTTGACAGGTATAAAAACGCTTTACGTTAATTCTAAGGATATACCTTATTAAGGACCAGACTCAGTATGGAGATTTAAATAGATTAAACTCAACGATTCGTTGAGAAAAGCGTGACGTGGAATTAATATAGGCGGTTCATATTTGTTTTGAGCGTTTGATCTCGATTCGTTCGTTATAAATTATTACGCTTATAAACGTTTGATTGAAACAAGTAGGTTAACATATGAATGTGTACTTGAGCTCATTTAAGAAGGAACGTGTTCGTTGTATTTTTAATAACTGTGAATTTTTAATTTTCTATAAACTTTTGCGGTTTCTTTAGATTTTTATATACATTAATTAGAATAGTACAACGTTTATTTCCTTAAAAAATAAATGTTGCTTAGTAATTTCAGTTCGAATATATCTTTAAAAACATCTAGTGGAAGTAGTACAACCAATTTTATTAAAACATCTATGGGAATCAAATAACCATTGGGTCCAATTTTGTCATGAAAATGACAATACGCAAATAGAACCGTACTCGTCGGGAGGCATCTTTATTTAGTTATTTGATCGTATGATAAAAGTTACTATACTTAGAAGTTGCACTCCTTTACTGAAACTATTTATCATCCCTCCCTGTGATTCGAAACTCGACCTAAAACTGAACGTTATGAATAGCAGCGCCTTTTACAACTGAGTTACAAAAGTTCATAGAACAATCGCAAAACAATTCGTGTTCCAATTCGAATCTTAACGCGGAGTACTTAAAATTGTATTGTCCCATTCATGCCTTTATGAACTCCGCAAAAAGTTATCAAATTCTCAATTGGCAGCTTAATATTCTTCCCGGCTTGCAAGCGACATCAAATTTCCATAAATACAAAGAAAAGATGTATAGGTTAAAAAATATTATGCTCGCAAAGTCCTTTGCGTTGAAATCTCAGAATATTGCCTTTTGTTCGGTACAAACGGTGGTATTCGCGATCGCTTTTTTACCAATGCCAACCGTTGAGTACCTAGAGTTACCCGTGCTTTATGACGGAGCACACAAAATTAGCTTTCCTTGGAAATATCAGAATGATAATATTTTGAGGATTTCAAATCTATGAACCAAGAATTGTTGAACACTTGTTGACGCATCTTCTAAATTCCTACATTAACTCTCAGGCACTATACACCACTATAAAATCGATGATGTACTTACAACTTCGTGTTCGAAAGAATCATTCCTCTTTGAATGATGTAAAAAAAAGTCCGCGACGCTATGTGTCTATCTTTTAAGATTAACGCAATGCAAGAACGACGGGAAGGGACGCTGCCGACGTCGTAGCTACCAATTTAAGTCTATAAAGATGACGGGGTTTGCAAAAACTAAATAACGATTCTCGCGGACGAAGTCGCTGGCTCAGCTAGTCCTTATATATCCATATATGAGTAAGTAATAAAACAGTTATTCCTATCATCTGTTTTATTTTAAAAGTCAATAAACTATATCAGTTTCGCTATGTGTATATATGTTATTTGTTACATCGCTCACGAAGAAACCCGAGGCGATAGATTATTGTTTATAGTTACATTTTCTTTAAAGCCATTCAATGCTAACTAAGCACATATATTTCCTGTCTCGAAACACAGGCGTTAATAATAAAAATCAATAGCTAATTGAGTATAAAGAAATGCGATTTGCCGAAGGCAGGCGCGACTAACGAACCGTGCGCACGGAGTCAGCTGCGACTGTACTGATCAAATGGAAAAATTACATCTTGGTGAAATATTTTACATCTTTTCAGTACACCTGAAAATTCAATATCGCTAAGGATAGCTTTGATCTGGGTCGCCTCAATGCAGGTCACAGTTTTTGCGTTTATGTGAAGAAAAAATGGGGAAATACGAACGCTTAAGTTACGCCCAATACCCTCAACTAGATTTTGGTACTTGCCTAAAGAGTTTGACTCTTAAAGCAAGTATCAACTAACATAAACGTGTTAAAATGTTTACCATGAAGTTAAGTATTTCAAGCAAACTGTGTAGTCTGTTTCTTCCGAACAGATTATTAAAAATACAAAATAAAGATGACAAAGAGATGTATATATTGCATTATTAAATAAATAGTTAAACAATTATAATTCCCCGCTCGTCCCAAATTTTTGTATTTATAACTTTTTTTTTTAATTTTAATTTTTTTTTATTTTTTTTTTGTTTTTTTTTTTTTTTTTTTTTTTTTTTTTTTTTTTTTTTTTTTTTTTTTTTTTTTTTTTTTTTTTTTTTTTTTTTTTTTTCTTAAGATTTATAACATTATATATAGCCTTATAGTAAAGATTTCATAAATTACTACAGTACAATGTTGCCCATCGCAAATATAATTTATCTAGTTGGACCGATCTATCCAGTTCATCTGAACCCAGCTCATGTTTCATTAAGGTTCAGTATCAGCCGGGCCTATCGCTTTGAGCTATTAACAGATTGATTTAGATCTCTTGATTTGGCTTCTCAAGGATGTCCCTCGAAGACACTGAACACTATGATCTTGAAACATTTTAACTTCATAACTGAATTTTCAATATCGTTCTTCAGAGACATTTCTGAGTCCGTTTTACTGATAGGTTTTATTTATTGACAAATTTTTATCAGATTTTTGTAATCATTGAATTTTTTCGGTGGGGTACACTGAAATAACCCAATGTTTTCCGGGATTCGAAGCCAGGACCTCTCGCGCTTAACACAATGATAGACAACACGTTTAACCATTTAACTACAGATAGGAGCTTATTCACTACACATTATTAATATTGTATTTTTTTGTACCGTCAACTTTTACTATTTCAAATACATTTTGATTCTGCAATTTACTACTAGGTTAGGCAATTTAATAATTTTAAATTACCTAAAAATAAATCAATAAAATTTCAGTAACAGTCTATTAAATAGTTTATTACAATAAGATCAGATAAAACTTGCCTTTTTCAGACCCTCAAAAAATACAAATAAAACTTTTAAAATATAAATGAACACTATTCTGTTCTTATCAAGTGTAGCCTGAACAGTGAACTGAATAAAATAACCGAGGTAGAGGTACTGCATTTTACAGGCACAGTATAAGCACACCAGTAGGAGCTAGAAATACATTTTAAGTAATAATCAATTTGTCTACATACATTTTAAATGTATTAACATAATAATATGATTGGTGATTCATAATCGATAACATATAGAAACTGAGACTTGTTCTTTATTGTTGTATAACGTTAAGTGGTGCGTTTTACCAAGGGACCTGTTGTGTGATTTTTCACGTGGTCCTACTGTTGCAAATACTCTGTGGACGAGAGCAGCAATGACGTGGACATCGCGACACTATCTCGACACAGACAAATGTTCTCATTGAGATTGCTTCACGTTCTAAGTGCAATTTTTATATTGTTCACTTTTATATGAGTTACAATACAATGTTACTGGAAATGTAATGAAATACATTTTCGGGCAGACAGTTAACAAAATTTGGCTACAATGTATTTATGAAAAGTTTTTGTCTTAAACGTTCTACTAAAGACAGAAATTATAGCAAAAATTGGTAAACAATAACACATGTAATTTACTAGGTAAAGCATCGATTATTAGTGATCGATGAGGTAATGGGCAAAATACCACAGCTATATAGCATCCCAATAAGATGTGTTGTCGTCATATATTGAGTTGAAACGTTTACACTTCACAGCTTTTTATGTGATGTAGGTTCCGTAAATAAAATAAACTGTAAGTACTGAACACCCAATGATTGTATGTAGTGTTTACTCATTGAATTATTAAAAGCTATATTAAGCTATAAGCTATATTATTATAATATATTCATTGTAGAATATTGCTAATCACAGTAATTGTGCCATTAGTGTGAACAGTAATCCAAATGAACTCATTACGCTTGATTATCTTAATCTATGACGTTCATAACTGTTAACTAGTATTCGAGTTTGAATAATTAATTATTGTATTGACTTTACACGTAAGTGAGAGCTTTATGTAAATACAATACTTACTTATACAGTGCGGAACTTATTATTTAATCATATTGCGATTTGAGAGGTTCAGAGAATGTATGCAATTTCATTATATAGTGTTCTGGAATTCTTTTAAATACTAATAGAAAAGTCTGATGTTTGTTATAGACTATAGAATGATTTCATACATACAAACATATCTGCTAAGTGTGTGTTGTTATTTTCTTTGTCATCTATTTTAACAAACAATAAAGATGTAAACTATTTCCCAATCGTTAATTTTTGCAAAACCTTTTTTAATAATTAATTAATTACTAAACTTTAAGACATACAAATATAATTAAATAAAACACTTTAACAGTTTAAACGCGATATATTAGTTAAACTTATTTGAAAATTATTTTTAACTTCGGCTCCGATGTTTCGGATGCTTGTGCAGTAGCTGTGTTGTCACGGGGAAGGACTAAAGATGGAGGATGTCTCTGACGTTAAAGTAAAAAATTGCTACGCTAGCGCCATCTGTGCCGTCGAAGTTGATATATCGCCAAATAATCTAATTCATTTTCAAATAAGTTTAACTAAAATATCGCGTTTTAAACCGTTAAAGTGTTTCATTTAAATGTGTACTACTCGCGTAAACTATAGACCATACATATATATAAGTATATATATATATATATATATATATATATATATATATATATACACATAAACGAAGAACAGAGTAAATAATATATGAATAATTTTAATTAAACCTTGACTATATTATTGAGTAGTGCACATCTAAAAAAAAACACTTCAACGGTTTAAAACGCGGGAAAATTAACTATGGCTCGACGCTCCAGTACAATCTCCCCGTGACCACGGCTGTCTAATGTCGGGCGATAGTTTAAAAAATTATAGAGTTCAAATAATACATTTCACATTTTAAACCATTAAAAGTGTTTCCTAACTAACTGAGTTCGAACTGAAATCGTTTTGCGCTTATTCTAACTTGTTTATCACTACAGAAGATATTAATATTATATTTCCTACCTGTTATCATTTGACTGGCTGTGGTAAGAAGTTTGACGTCATTATTGATGTCCTGAGTCTCAAGTCGAACTGTCACGTTCAGAGGGTCTAACTCAGCACCATCTCTACCGTGCAGAGTCACAAGTACGGCTGTGGTCTTTCCTGGTACCGCGACTTCGGGCGCTACCACTGAGAAACCGCTGTAACAAAGTACAATACGTTACAAGACGACGTAAGACATATACACAAATTATAATGTTCAGTGTTTATTTGGGCTATTACACTATAACTTTTATAGGCCCGTCGGTCGAATGACAGAAAAATATTGCTATTAAACAACGGGTTCCCGCCGGGTCTATACGGTTCTAATCTATATTTTTTGAATGGTAAATATTGTGGACTTCGCCTGGACGTAGGAATATAGAAGTTAACGTGGGTCACGCACCACTATCCACTGATTATTAAGCTTTAATTAAGTTAGGTTGAATCGCCTTTTGGTTTTAGTCTGTGAGCGTTCTAATGTCCCAAGGCAGAAAAGCTCCATAGAAGAAACATCCGGTTAGTTTTTAAGGCTATCGTGCAAGCAAATTCGACAAAAAAGTTTTAATTTAATTTAGCAAATAGTTAAAAAAGTAACGAATTTAATTAAAACACTCTTAGTTAAACCATTAGTTTTAAACTCAAAATGCTTATAACGTATTGACAATTTATTTTAAATACCATGGTCACGGGGGGCTAATAATAAATTTTATTGGTATACGTAATACCACTAAGACCGCCTCTAAAACTCCAATGTCAGGATTTTTTTCATACTGAAATTGAAGTGTGTTCTTAATGAATGAAAGTTTTGTTCTGGAGCAAGTTGAACCATTTCTTACTCGCTTTATACTATAAACTTCCTCCATAGTGTCAAATTCTAAATTTCATATTTTATTCCTATAATATGAAATTTAAATATAATAAATAACCGGCTTGCTTGAAATATCGGCGACTCCACGCGCTGCAGTGCGACAAATCGTATAGACACGTAGTAAATTGTTGTATTCGGAGCCAGCGAGGGGAATACTCAATTTTGTTTGATCTACACTTCTTATTTGTGTACAATTTGGAATTTCCTTCTATACATCGGTAGGCGTCACAAGAAACGTTTTTCTTACAAAATCATTTAGCGTTACACAAAATATGATAGAGCAATAGCATGGTACACTGTTCGGTATAAATGTTATATAAAATGTATTCGCTATCATGAAGATTTGATAATTAATTCGTCTCAAAATTAGGTTGGTGATTTTTCTCATTAGACCAACCAGTCCGTCGTAATCTATTTTCAGGTTAAAGTTATTACAGGATGTATGGTAATTAGGTAATTCATGATAATATAATAGTATAATAGAACAATATAACAGACGGTTGATATTGATATCTTACAAACCTAAAAGCCACAACACACTTTATTATATGACGAAGATATCAACTAAAGACAAATTGAAACTTCCCGTTTCTTCCACTAGAACGTGGCTACTGGTCAACCTCTCTATTTGACGAGGGTTACATCCGACATGCGCCCTTCAGGGATTTGTCCCGTCAAAGCTTTTTACGTCCAAAACAGTGGCTTATTAAGTAAATGCATTTTGTTAGGGGTTCACCCTACATAATATAGATTAATTTAAGTTTCATTTCGTTGTATATTATACAAGGAACTAAATTACATATCCTTTCATTTACAAATATGATACAAACTTCTCTATTATATTCTATCTAGTCTAACAGATTTTTAAATACATATGCTATTTACATAAAAATCTTTAACTAGATAAAATGGTATAAAATTTTTGTTAAGGTGCTGTATCAAATGGAAAAAACGGGATCTTATTGCTAAGACTTAGCTATCCATCCGTGTTTCTGTAAATAGAATAAAATTGAGTTGAAATTTACATAAATTAAATATTTCTGGTTACAATATAACAAAAACTAAAATGGAAATTAAATGCTTAGGAGGGTTCTTTTACAAAAAACGCAATATATTGAATATTATCAATATATGGTTTGCTACGTACTTGCAATAACAAAAAATGTTAAAAATTAAGTTCGAGTACGAAGTTGTATATTTAGCAACATATATTTGATGCTACATATAATCTATACTAATACAAGCGATTATACAGCGAGAAATGCAAAAAAAATGGAAACATTATTTATCATTATAGGTTTCCGAGGCGTACGCTGCGAAAATGGTTCAAGACACCCAAAAAATATATATGAAAGAATGATTCCTCATTCAATGATCTAAAAAAATGTCCTGGACACTATATGTCTATCTTTAAACGTTACTTTGCAAGAACGACGGGAAGGGACGCGACCGACGTCGTGGGTAAAAACGAATTTGGATGCCCAATAGCGATTCTCGCGGACGATGTCGCTGACACAGCTAGTAGATTATATTTAGCAACACATATATATAAAACATTATCGACCCTCTAATATGATACTCTTTATATATTCTCTACAATATGTTTAACATAATATGTCTTAACATTGTGTGTAGCAGGAACACAAACTTTAGTAATAACTATTAACGAAATTGATGAACTAAGTGTTTACTAGTAGATATAAGCTTTGTGTCGGGAAATCTGCAAGTTGTACTTAGTTGTCTTATTACAGCCACTTGAAGAAGTTTCCAATTTTGATTTATAGTGGCGTCCCTATACGTAAACAATATTGTGTCTTAGAAGTAAGCTTTTGAATTAAACTAATGGTTTGTTCCTCATATTTCAGCAAATTTTATATTGCCTTTATAAACGTCGGGTTTTAGTTTAAATATTAAAATATAAGTTTACTTAATATATGTCACGTTTTAAACGGTTAAAAATGTTCTATTAAAACAAATATTATGAGAGCTATAGTGTTTTGTGCAATAAATATCAAAATCTAATATTTTTTTAAAGAAATAACAGGATAAAGTCATGTACAACTTCCGACATTCAATTTACATACAATTTGGTTTATTTGCATTATTTACAAAAACGTGTAAACGTTTTGAAGTCAATTGAAATTCGATTAATATCTGAATGAAGTGAAATTCGGTAAAACACACTGTTTTTCCATAGGACCAAATATTACTACAGGCGTTGGATTTTATTTTTATTAATTTAACGTATAATTTAAGACAAAGAAAAACATCGTTAGGAAATCGACAACATTTGCATGTAGAATGTAGGAATCTACCAAAACGTAGATTCCTACATTATTTTATAGTTTTAAGCTGTTGACTAGCTAAATATTGAGTGTAGTTTACGCAAGTGGTAAATATTAACGGTATTAAACGCGAATTTATTAGTTTGCAGCGGCCGTGATCCCCGGTGACCATGGCAAAACATCCAAAACGTCAAGCCGTAGTTAAATTTAATTTAAAGTAAGTTAACTAATATATTTCGCGGTTTAAACCGTTAAATGTTTTATTTAAGCATAATATATATGATTTAAAAATTTATAAGTATGTGTATGATGTTGTATTTTTCAACTGTTTCCATATAAGTTAAATCGATCGGTGCAACAGACATAAATATGTATCCGTCCGATTGAAATACGAAACAACGAAATAAGCAAATTAATATACTATCATAATCACTCGAAACTGTAATATTGGTAATATCAATTCTCTTTGTACACCGTATCGGCTATACATTATCGTAATCTCTTTGAAAACGAAAAGCGCTATTCCACAAAATAAAGTAACGAAAACAGAACGTAATCCTTTTCCATTTCCGTAATTGAGTGGATTAAAATTCAGACGCAATACTAAAAATCAATCGCAAATCCAAAATTAAATTTGGTTTCGCGCTAGCTGAACAATATTTTTCAACGTTAGCAATTCGGGGATGGACACTTGCCAACTCTCTCCATAATCGATACGGGTCCCTTGAGAAAGATTGCTTTAGGCAAGAGCTGGATTTTTTGTTTGTAAAAGGTGGAATCACTCGTTTTTCACGAGAGAATAAATGCTTGGATAAGCTGGAGCAATTGTGGCGGGCTTTTACGATCAGGTGGAATTTATTGTGGCTGTAGATATTTATAACGCGAAAGCAACACTTCACAACGTTAGAATTGTTATAAGTATCAAATCGATTTTAAAATGTTGGTTCAAGTCGTAATTTTGAAATAAAAACATGTTGTTTTAAAATGTCATTTTTAAATAAAACACTCACGGCCAAAACTCGATATATATTAGTTAAACTTTAGAGATTTTTTAAAAAAGGGGGTTTTTGGGTGTTTTTGGGGGGGGGGGGTTTGGGGGGGATTTTTTGGGGGGGGGGTTTTTTTTAAAAAAAATTTTTTTTTTTTTTTCAATTAAATTTATTAATATAATTTTTACAGATGGTGAATAATTCAAGTATTTTAGTTTAGAATCTTTCTTAAAAACTTTTTGCGACACGGACGGACACTGTAGCTCACTTTTAATTACAATCTATCAATCTATTTACAGTAAAAAAAAAAAAAAAAAAAATAATACTTTATTCTCCATAAAATCTATGAAAATTATTTAGATTCGTCAAAAAAATATGTATGTTCGTTGTGATTCTACAGTGTGTTCAAAAGAGCAACACAACTAAGAAGAACCCCTAAGAAATTCAGTCTGGCTTTTTTCAACATGTCTTATAAACACATTTTGTTAATTTATTAACCTAAGGAGAGATTACGACGCAGGCAGGCCTTGAACCGGTACTCACACGGTAGGTCAATTGGTTAGAGATAGAGATTTTTTTATTTAAGTAGATTTATACAATGCCATCATATGATTTCTCTTATCATCAACATTTTATTTACGTTAAAAATATGCCTATTGCAATTGAATCGTTCTATCTTCCCTTTTTTCTGCAACACTAAGCAGCAAGCACCGCCTTTGCACCAACTCAAATAAGGATAAGCCAAACAAAATAACACCATAAATAAAAAATAAATCGGTCAGATAGTATCTAATATTGGCGGAGAAAACGACCCTTTCCAACTGGCTTACACCGATACTCGAATATATTACGGTCTAAGTATATCTTGATTGTACTTCTCCGGAGTCGAAAGGGTAAATATAAGAGTTAAAAGGAAAACAGTTATATGAGAAATTATTTCTATTTTTAGCACATCATGTTCTGTAAAAATGTAACCTTTATAAATCTTATTGTGTAATGTTAATATCATGTTGTAA